ATTGGTCTGTATTATGCTGAAACTGTAGAAATATTTTGTATACAGGAAAGCTGTTGCATGTGTGGGGTCTGAAAGCCTTCACTCTTCCCTTGGTGCTCACAGAAAGGATAAAATGAGTCATGCCTCTAAAAGCCTGTAAAACAGACGGATGACAGGAAGGGAATGGCAATATCCAGCAGTGGGCGGCCCTTTCTAGACACCTTCCCAAGTCTCAAGGGCTTGGACTCCGCAGGTGATTGCAGTGACCAAAAAGAGTTGATTGGCCCCTTGCCCTTCTGCTTCCCTGAGAAGTGAAGTATTATTTTTCAGCACTTTAAGTGTTTTTTATTTTGTTTTATTTCGTTTTTTCCTCAAAAATGGGAGTCATAGATGTTTTCAGGATGATTATAAGGGGTTTGCCCTTGAAATATGCATGAAGAAAAGGAATTGCCAGTGTAGATTGACAATGTGTTCTTACGCTTCTCTGTAGGTTGTACTGTGTGGGGGTTTATAACTGTTAAAGGGACTTGGGATTTTAGTATGCCCTAGACAAAGTGTTCAATAAAACTAGAAAGGGCACGGGGCATGTTTTGCCAGCAGCTGTTAGGCAGTAGTAGTGTCTGATAATTATGCTAATAAGTGGTAGTAAAAATCCTAGGACTCTTCAGTTTTGGTGACTAAGCATTTCTGAAAGCACCATTTTATCTAAAATGTCAGTTTATATTGTTAATTTGATGGGAATCTTAGTATTGCCCAAAGTATTTTCTATTCTATGTTTTTGCAGTCCTGTTGTATTTCATCCCTGCCACAGCTTGTGTATCTATTCTCAAAGTTAATGTAAATTCTTCACACTACAGTAAACATTTTTGTTTTCCACATTTGGAGTCTGTGCAAGTGAAGTTTATCTCAAGTGCTAGGAACCAAATCTTCTCCCACAGCAAGTTTAGCCTCCAACTATCCACTTCCAGCTGAAGACTGAAGTTGAGGTCACACTGGTGTTAGAATCCATTGTGGTACGTGGGCAACTGCTGCCTCTTTCCAGCTTCCCCAGTCCCTGCACACGTTGCTCACATTTTATTCTGAACTGTGCCACAAGACCGGAGCTTTAGTCAGGTTCTCCAAAACTCCCTTAGTGTGCAGAAGAGGGAGGTATTCTGTTACATAAGACCTCTGTATCTAATGCTGCTGAAATTTGCTATAACGCTGTGAAGAACTGGAGGCAAAGAATCCTGTTTTCATTAAAAAAACAGATTTATCATATTATGGCTGTTAAGCTGTAACTGTGTTAGACATTTATATGTTTACATCTTCTGAAGACCTTAAGGATGAAACCTTTCACTGTCAGCAGTTCCCAGGCCCAGAAAATGCTTACAAAAGAAATCTGTGGTTCCAGTTTCTGATGTGACCATTACTTGGGAAAAAAGCTGGGATAGACAGTATTAAATATGAAAAGCAGTAAACGAGTGTCACATTGTATTAAGTGTTCTTACTTATCCATAGCTGAGCTATTGTCTGTGCTGCATTCAGTTAGAAAAACTAGCAGCGATCATTGTGGTTGAATCTCTTTTGAAGACCTCCCAGTCAATACCTGTTACATTTTCCTGGATTTTCTTGGATGGTTGTTTTCGTGGTGATTTTTTTTTTCCTTTTTTTTTTATCCTCTCTTGCTATCAAATTTCTTCTCATCTTGCCAGTTCCGACTGGAAACCCAAACTTCCCACACTTGGGTGCAATGAATTAATTTTGTGTGTGTGCTGCCTTGTGTATGCCCTGATTGGGTTCAGCTCCCAGCTGGGTAAAACCATTGATCTGGAACTGTGAAAGGGTGTGGAACCCACTCTGCCCCTCCTTTTCTACCACTCCGCTGCAAGAGTTGCTGAAAGCTCATGGTGCAGCCCCGGACTTGGCAGGTAAATCGCCATTCAAATGTGCAAGCAAACAGGCAGAACTGTGTGTCTAATAAATTAATGGAAAACTCATTTTATTTTAAACTTCATAAAAGCCGTAATTATAAATATGACAGACTTTAATGAACATACAGTGCTGTGGAGTACAAGCAAATGAACAAGCTTTCTCCAGTTACATTTTACTTAAGCTCTTCATGGATTCCGAAGTGTAACATGATGGTAGCTGCCTTCATGGGTATAAAAATAAGCCTCTGGTGTATCAAAGTATACATGATTGCTTCAGCTGCCCTGATGTGAGAATGTATAAAGCAAATGTTAACCTAGGAGTTCTACTTCTCTTTGGTATTATCAAACAATTTCAGTAGCCTTTTAGATGAAGTGATGAAAACCTCTACTGTATGTACACAAACTCAGTTCTAAATAGTTGGCTGTTCAAAGGCTGCAGAGATAGTGTGGTTAAGTGCATAATTACTGTACAAAATAGTTACATGAAGCTTGCAGCAGGAGACTAGGACTGAACTCAGACTAACAGTCTGGGGCAGTTGGGATAGAAGCTGTTGATACCATTCATCCATGCTACTGTGTCTCACTGGATCTTTGAGAACTGAGGGATAGGATCAGCTTAGGGCTAACCTGTGTCTTCCTAACGAACCATGTTCTCTGTCATATGGCTCAAAAAATGCTAAACAGTACAGGGAAAAAAAAAGCTTAACTTAGTGGCCTGAGGTCATGTTAAAATCTAAGGATCAGTTCACTTTGCAATAATTTTTCCAGACTTAACTTGTGGAAAAAATATAAAAGTATGTATTTGACAGGAAATATTAAAGCAAATCCTAAGTGCTTACATCAATGTTTTTTCTTAAGAAAAAAGGGCAAGAAAACTTTGTTGTAAAATTAATCTGCCATAACCAGAATCCCTAGGCTACAATTTATATGGATATTTTGTAGTACCTCTTAAATACTTCACCTGAGTGTTCTGTCCTGTATCTGAAGGGAAATGCACAGTAATTGTAGTAGCCTATGCAGGTGCAATATTTGAATAGAATTTGCTTTATATATATAAGATTGACACTAAGCTTAAGTCCTGTGCATTAATGAGGCTCATCCTAATCCACTGACTGGACCGAATGTCTAAGAAATATTGGTGTATCCTGGTGGGGACAGGATCCTTTGGCCTTAATGCCTTTGCCTGGCATTAGGAAATTGAGCACATTTCTTACTTTTTAGTTCAGTTCAGTTTAAGTTCAGCACAGTACGGAAGCTGAGCCTTATGCTCGTTTCATGCAGCATAAGCTTTGGTGCTAACTTGTGCTCAGGGGGAAAGAGAAAGAAAACTTCCTGCTGAGTCGAAACCAACTACCAAAGAACAACAACAGATTTTCCTGTAGGCAAGTCTACCAGCTTGATCTCAAACAGCAGAGAATGTGCAAGAACTCGGTGCTGAAAGCTGGCACTTCTGGCATTTGCCTTTTGTACTGCCAAAAAGTGACTCAGTTGAGACTTCCTCACTACCTCCGACTTCAGAGGTGATAATATACGTGGAGGACTCCACTGCCACTCTGATTTAGCCTCAGCTAAAAACTTTACAGAAGCCTGTAGGGAAAATGGGAGTTGAATGAAATTTTCCTATTTTAGGGATGAAGCAGTCCTTGGCACATAGTCCAAAAGCCAAGCATAACCACAAAGAACCTAATTGTTTTTTTCTCAGCTTGCACCCATGCTGTTCCTTCTGCTGTTTTATGGCAATAATCATTAGAAACTTCCCTGCAAAAGAAGGTAAGTCACTCTGTGACAAACTTGTCGCGAATTCCCTAGCCCAGATTGTTTCTGAGAGAACTGCAGTCAGCAAGGCATGTTTTCCAAGGCAGGAGCTATTGGTGCCCTTTCAGTGCCAGACACTTGCTAAGCAGCTGTGTGATGAAGGAAATGAAACAAAAGGTTCTTCTACTTTCTGGAGAGGAGTAATAGCAGATTTCAGTGGGAATAATTTTAGCCCACCACCATTTCTGGTGCTGCTGTAGAACGTGTGTTCAGTTTCCCAATATGGCCAAATGACACCTGTGATCTAAAGCAAGATTTAAATGCTACCTTTTTGCTTGGAAAATTGCCAAACCAGTGTGATGGCAGCAAAATTCCCATGGCTCTCTTAAAAATACCCTCTCCTCCAACTGTGAAATATTGTAAATTTTGTAAAAATGACCAAATTTAATCCATTTCAGGACCTGTGAGGTAGTCAGTATTAAATAAAAACTTCTCATCTTGAATCCTCTTCAGCTACAATGTTTACAGATCTAGAAGAAGAGTGCATAAAGGAGGCTTCTAAAAAAGTAACTTGTTCTGCATTAATCCCACCTCCACTATTTTCTTAAGAACTCTGACCCTGCTTCTATTGATGACACTGGCCATGTACTCAATTCCTTCACTGGCTTCAACTTACAAAGAAGAAAAGTATCTTTTCAAAGATGTCTTGCATAATGGAATCAGCAAGTGCGTTCCTTGCAGCTGTGGTGTATTGGGGGAGAGGTTTAAATGCTCCTTCCCTACATGATACATACTTATAAAAGTGATGAAAAGAAAACGTTTCTTTGCTGAGTTGCTGATGGTGGGCAGTTCCCCATCTCTCTGCACCAACAACTGAGACTACCCTCAGTAGATACAGTGAATCTTATAGGGGATCTTCAGATGAAAATCTTTCATAGTTCCTCGAGGAAGGCTGTGCTGCACTGCCTGGACACTACTGCTGGATAACCTCCTCTCCTTCCTGCTCATTGGGATCAGCCTAGGTCTGGCAGATGGCAGGAAGAGAGCCATAGAACCTCATGCTGTATTATGTACTAAAATCATACAGAGATGAAGTAACAGTTCTCAAAGCACATGTAACGTGAGCAAAGCCTTTGCTTTTAGAAACAGCTAAAGCTGGAACCTTCCTTTTCCTTTACTCCTATATACATATTCCAGATAAGATGATACATGGAATACTATTGGCTCAGCAATAGTACACTTACATTTAGACGCGAGAACCAGTTCAGTGCTGAAAACATTATAGATAGCAGCACAAATATGTAATAAAAGCTGTTTGATCCTGAGACTGAATAAGCAGAATACACAAGAATATTTTTTTCTTACATGTTTACTTTTAAGAATAGAATCTTCAGCCCATATACCCTATATGTTGAGAAGAGGGAATGTCAAGGTTAGTTTTTCTCATAACCCACTAGACTTTGATTCAAAGTGTGGAAAAACTGCAATAAATTGAGTTCTGCTGGTTCATTTGAATATATGCATTTTAGTCTATTCCCAAGCCTATTGAACAGTGTTCACTCCTTGACCATAGCAGCAAACCCACAGCTAACTGCCTGCCACAATTAACTGGCAATCTGTGATTCCATGCTTTTGGCTATAACTCAGGATGTAATTTTCTTTTGTGCATATGTAGTAAGGGTTCTTCACCTGTTTGTTGGACAGATCAAAACCATCTCAGTACTGCACAGTTCTGTCTCCTCACTGCAGCTGTGACACCTTAAGAGGAGTAGTACTGTTAAAATCTAAGAAAAAAGGGCCCTCTTGTTGAGGCAGGAATGTGGTGGGGATAATATTGTAAACTCCAGCAAATATGTTCTCCACCTCCAAGTAGCAAAATCCACACCTATGATAAAGAAAACTACCTGTTAGAAATGGGATCTAAAGTATATTTCAAACCTCTTACACAGACTTCATTAAGTGTTACCTGTAGTCACCACTGCTTTTCTTATGAAAGCCATAGGAACCAGGATCTCCCACTGTTGAGACAGTGACAAGTTCAAAACCAACGCTGTATTGCCTGCAAGTGACATGACAGACTTGCTTTAGATATTTGGGTCATCAGGATTCCCATGAAGAGGGCTAATTATCAGAAACTATACAGTATAAACTGAAAGGACATCTAAAAGTTTTGTCACATTTGTGACAAAAATATTAAGTCAAATTTACCATGACATGAATGCAGAATTTAGAAGAAGACAGAACTTAATTCCGGTTTAGAACTAGACTGTAGGGAAAATGCCTACTAGAAACCTGCCTATGCAGAATTCAAGCAGTTAAGCTTGTGACACACTCCTGTTCCACATGGCAGAGATCCTGGGGTGTGATCAGATTGCTATCAGAGGACTCGGTGTCAGTGATCTCAGCAGAATTTCTCATGTTGCAATACAACTTGGGACACTTTGTCTGCTCCTGTTAATGCATGTGACAGGCACCATGCCCCTGTCCTTCAAACTACCCAAATTTGATGTACTAATGCAGGAAAAAATGCATACAAAGAACTGCTCAATTCACTGAACTGTGCAACCACACCTCTCCCTTCAATTAATGAGAGAAGGAGTGTCCTCCTCACAGAGGGGAGGAGAGAAGAAAGTTCTGCCATTTTGTGGGACCCACTGTACAGCTTTGCAAAGGATAAACACTTGACTGCAGGTCAGGAGAGGTTGCTGTTCCAAAGTTCTGAATGCTGGTATTTTGAGGTAATCATTAATTGTGTCAAAGGAATTTGGCCTGCGTAAGTCTACTTATAGGACATCCAGCACTTCTCCTGGCCAGCTAGGGGCAAAGAAAATACACTTTCAGAGGTGTAAGGGTTTAATATCTTGCATATTAGCTCTACTACAAAATAAAAAGAATTATGATCGTAATTAGTATTAAGAAGAAGTCCTTTATACCTTCTTCCCTAGCTCTGCTCAGACACCAAAACTAAAGAGAAAGGAAGGCTGCTGCTTTCCTCATAGGTCAAGGATTTCCCTCAGTAGTGGATGTGTAGATTTAAAACACTATTGATGGTAAAGATAGACACATAAATAGTACTAAATCTTAGTCAACTCCCACACCTTGTCTTCTGGATTTTCCATGAGTTTCCTACTCTCCCCAAGGGGATACTGACAAAGTTTTATCTTTGGCATGCAATGCCTTCACTATATTGATGCACAATTATTTTCTACAAACCTCGGCCCCCGTAGTTCAATTAGCAATGGTCCATTCTTGTCTAGCTGGAATTGATAAATGGGATTATTTTTGTAGGTGTCTCTGAAGTTTCCACATCCTCCAGCACTGTGACCTTTCCATTGTCCATTAACCTAAAAGAAGTCAAAAGTACAGAGGACTTGTATTGCTTATATATACACACAAACAAGACTAGAGTGTCCTCTCACTTTAAAGGTTACTGACTTTAGTGACCTCTCCTAATTCTTAAAGTGAAGTGAAAGATGGGGTTAAGCCTTCACAAAGTCTCATGCAGTTCCCCATCCCCCTGATACATGTACTGTATTTTTCCAGCTTACATTAAACAAGCACTGACTGTTTCTGACTGTGACAAACTGCAGCTAACAGAAGACCCACATTCCCATCTATCCCACACCTACAAGACTATACAGGTTATTTTTTTGTCCTCAGACACTCCTCTGTTGGGTTAAATGAGAAACAAGATCTCTTCCTCCAGCCCTGTCCATCACCTCTACGCACTCTGAGAACCAGCACTGCAGTGACAAGATAACTACAAGGACAGATTCTGCAAGGATAAAGACACATAAGAGGAAAAATGCTGCTCAGACTGTGAGAAGCAGGCCATCTGTTTCCAAGTTCCTCTTGCTAGTCATTAAACTGAAAGGTTAGACTTGTAAGACATGCCAGGCATTCCCAAAGATTTATAGCTGAGATCCATCTCTCCTGTTTCTTCTCTCCTGACTCTGTCAAATCAGCAAGGGGCAGCATTTTCCCATGTGATTTAATTTCTTCACTCAGTGCAGTGAACTCCTCAAACATGGTAAGTATGGAAGCAAGGGAAATTTCTCCCCCTACCATGCTGCTACCCAGGAACCTAAAACTGCTGTGTGCTGTGGAGCTTTCTAGCCCTGTTCCACTTCTGCTACACTTAATTCCAAGAATCACATCAGGGCTTGGTGAGCTCCAGAGGTGACCACTTGAGTTCAGTATAGGACATCTAGCAGAACTTTTTACTGCTGAACTGTGAATTAGTTCCCTGCTTGTTTTTGTGTGTGATGACTGCTAAGTAATCACCAAATAGGCATTAAATATAAATTGCTAACTTTTTGTATTCAATTCTAAAGACAGAACTGGCCTTAGATAGATAAAACTTACCTTTTTTAGGTTTTTTTGAATCCTAGACAGACATGTTCAAATAATCAACAGGAGTTTTCTATGTACTTAATTCTCTTTTCAAACATATTACAACATAAAATGGTCGTCCCTCCTCAAACAGGCTTTTCACCTTGAATGTGCTTTTGACCTCTTAAAGGACTTCCTCAAAGTAAGCCCAGTTTTTAATAGCTATATAGGACAACGGGTTCTGGAAGAACCAAACAAACCATCTTGCTGTTCCCAGGAATCTCTCTATTCACTCACCATTCTCTAGAACAGGCTTCAAGGGATTGTTCCAGAAATAATAGCTGGTATGGAACAATTGTCTGAACTCGAGAGCCAAGCTGTAAGCCAGCATGTTCCCCTGACCACACAAAGTAATGCAATCCTGGGCTTCAGGCATGAGTGTCCTAGAAAATGGACTGACCCACTGTGGCTCAAACTCCCTTGCTTCTCTCTTCCTGAACAAATTACTGTTTGGACAGAAGATTTCTGACTAGAATAGGATTTGCCAGGGTATGCATGGTAGGTACAGAGCTAAAGTTAACAGCTGCTGGTTTATTCTTTCCTGAGGATTAAACTGCTAAAACATGAAAATACATGCAAGTTACTTTATCCTGTGAGCTCTTGGCTATATTTATACTTCAGTTGAAGGTGTAACTGCAGCTCATGTTGACAGATGAAATACGAACAACAGCTGGCTCCAAAACAGCCTGAGCTTCTGCCTTAGTTTCAGCCAAGTTTTTCACTCTTCCCCCTGCTCCTATCATCTCAGGGAGCATTTCTACAGGAAATGTACAATGGATATACTTCTTGGTCCTATGTGGGAGTGCTTATTCCAATTGTTACAGACCCTTGATGTATCTTCGCAAAATTTAGGAACAGTAACGTGTTGCACTATTGCCATCCTACATTTGTTTCTTATGGTCTTGCTACTGGTGCCTTTGGTTTGGCATTGCTGATTTTGTCCCATCCTGCCAGGAATTCTTCCAAGAAAATCATTCTCCCAAGGGGAAATGAGCAACACTTCTGGGGGGGGTTTCACTCTGCACCATTACTAGCACAACCTGATTTCTGCAGAGTGATGACTTATCAGGGTATAGGTTGTTGTTCCAAAGGCCAGTCTATTCTACAAAGACTTTGCAGCACGTCTGCAATGGCACAGCTGCAACAATACACTCTCTGGTGGAGGTGGGGCAGTAGTATCAAAATATATTTTAAAACCCTGTACATCTCTGATATGGAAAAGCCAAACCAGTGACCCATAAAAGAAAATATTTCTTTACCCGTTTGGAAATGGTGTAAGGTGTAGGAATCTTGGAAAAGGTGAACTTGCACAAGGAATATACCTGTGTTGTAAAAGAAGTAGCAGGTCACATCACACATCCATCTTGCACATTTCAAATGGAATTGTGACAAATTTAAAAAAAGCAGAATTGCCTACACAATATTTTTAGATATTTGTTCACCACATGCTTGTACTACCCATCAGATGACCTTGTGTTAAACTCAAAATTAAGAATAGTGCTGGGACTAAGACTTAGTTCTATTTAATTTTTCTTAACAACCTCACCCCCCCAAAAAAAACAAAAACCCAACCAAACAAGACCCAACAAAAAAGCAAAATGGAAATAATCTGCATTTTACTCTTTTTTTAGTGAAAAAAAAAATCTAGCATTGATCATTATGTGACTCAGCAGTTAAGAGAAAAATGCAAATCCCAAGTCAAGACCTAGAGAAGTCAAAAATCTTTAAATCTTAATCAGGATCTAAAATAGGTTTATTTTAGATACATAGAGAGCCTTTACATAGATACTTTTTTATTCTAGGAAATAAGAGTATTTTTCAGCTGATTTTGTTACTAAAACCATACTAATATCTTAACTGGAAGTGGAAAACATTATCAAACACTTCGTCCAGTGGTTCTGCTCCATCATTCATAGCTTCCCTCCCCAAAATAGCAGTATTGATTCAGAAATACCCTTTTCATCAAATTTTAAAACAAAGGACACTTTACAGTTTAATTGCTTACACTCATTATGAAAAAACAGCACATACCCTGATGGTGTAATGGATGGTGTTTTGCTTCTCATACTGAGAAACCACTAAGGTGAATGTATGGGAGCCTGGAGAGGTCAGCTTTATCTTGGTCAGATAATGAGGACTGTTGATCCGAATACCATCAATATAAGGAGGAGGATCAGCTGAAAAAGAAGATGAACATTTTTCCCTGACCAAAAATCCCCCAGCTTGGTAAACTTCTAAGATTAGACTAAACAGACCTAAGCGCTCTGAACAGATGACAGCCTCAAGATTTACCCACAAAAAGGAGTCTTAACATCAACTACTGTTTTCAGGAGAGGTACATCATACATGACAAGACACAAATTCTGTGCTTCAAAGTACAGCTTAAATCCCAAGACTTGCAAGGCCTGCTTATCCATCTCCCACCAATGTCACTACTCAAAGAAGACTACTGTAATTATGTTGAAATTTCAAGAGAAAGATAATGAATGTTTAAGCATTCTTTGAAAATCTTTGAAGTATCTGCTCTTTCTTCATTGGCTGGATGGTTCCAGAATGCCAGCTGCCAAAATCTTTGGCCACCTTGTAAACAATACTTCAAAACATGTTAATTCCTTTAACTAAATCACACATGCTTTCTCTCCCTCTCCCTTCAAATCCCTGTGATCACTACACAGATGTAGCTGCATCCCAATACCAATGCACATGTGGTACTTAAAAAGATCCCAAATGTTTGCTTTTACAATTAGACAGTGTAATTTGTTATTTGCCCTCTAATTGGTTCTTTGCAGGCTTCTTTTAATTTCAGTGAAGCAGGACCAACTCTAGCCAATTACTTCAATAGGCCCTGGATCAGGTTCTTTTGTTTTCTTCCACAAAGCAACATGAGAGGGGAAAGGATTAATATAAAACAATAGGAAGCTTAGGAATGGGAAATCTCGGCCTTGCTGCCAAAGGATTAAGGTGCTTTGTTCTCATCTCATTTTAACAGATGGTTAAAAATAATACTGCAGCTTGACCAATCTATTTCCATGGAAAAAGGTTTTAAACAAGTTTGGGCTCGTGAGATCAGAAGTTTTTAAAAGAGTTTGTGTAGCAAGACAAAACATATGAATCATTCAGTTTTTGCTACTGGTCTTGCTAGGCTGTCTCTTTCAAGCACAATTGAACAATTCTCTCTAGTATGCAATTGTGCTTGGGTTTGCTCACTTAAGAACCTTTTCACCAGGAACACCAGAAGCAACTTGGGCATTTGCTTCTCCTCATAGAGAAGCTCTTGCAAAAACAGATGATGATTTGGTCAGGTGTCAACAGATCTCTCCACAGAAAGACTTGGGTTCTAGGGGAAGCTTGGATTCTGGGGGAATTGGTCAGCAGAGTTAACTGAACAAGATCAGATGTAAACAATGCAATGCATATTAGCCATTCCAATAGAAAAAGTCCCACAAATTCCACTCTTTGGTGAAAAAAGCTTTAAAAACTACTAAGGGAGTTGTTGCATGAGCAGCTATCCAAATGCAAACCTGGTTCCTATCTGTAAAAGCAGCAGGCCACATCCCACTTGTTTTAGGATGCACCTTCACTGCATAGTTCCAAGGAATATTTTTAGCAATCTCTAACTTAATGGAAAGAATAAATAAAAACATGATCTTATTAGCTCTACCTTAAAGTTTCAGTCTATCCATTCAACCTGGGCATTACCTTTACACCCTCTGTCTCAGTCTGTGCTTCAGATCTGCTATTTCTCTTGAAATAAAGCATATTTGGCTACTTCACAGCTACAGCAAACCTCTTCTCCTCAAGATGAAAAGAATCTGACATATAATGACCAAGAGTGAGATCTTGATAAAATTTAAACATTTTAAACATCCCATACCTGATACTTGGAAATATGCTGCAGTGTTCACCTGTATTTCATAAGCTTTCTTAGGTACTTTACTAAGCCAAGTTCATGGGACAATTAACCCTGATTATTTTCATTTTGTGGAAGCTGTAGACCTTTAAATAATTTCACAAATGTAGGAAATAATTATGCTATCAGAGCAATTAACATACAACATTTGTTCCCTCTAAGCATTAACTACTGACACTGAAAAATAAACGGAAAAAATGAAGAAAACGTTGCATCAAAATAAGTGTCAGCAGGACTATGTAGACCTCTTAAGAGTGTCTACAGCATGTGCAGAATGGCCTATTCCTTCAATGTAGACTTTTAAGTAAGATCAAACAGAGCAAAACAATGATTTCAGAAGACTGACCTCTTAATGAGGCATCTAGTTTTAAAAACCAAAAAGTGCCTTTCCTCTCCACAAAATTCTGTGTGCTATTTCATTCATTTATAACATCAGCTACTTGACAATTAAGGTACACTAACCTGGATAGTAAACTTTTTTTCCATCAGTCTTGTATACAACCATTGTAATGAATTCCCGATTGTGTGCAAAGTCATCCTGTAAAAACAAAACCCACAAAAAACCACAAATCAGAGTTGTGCAATTCTGTGAAACATAATGAATGCTTAATCAGAGTCAAGTATACCTTCTACCATCCCTTTTGATCACCACACAATACGATCTGATATTTGTATTTATTGGGATACCCAACAGAATTATTTTTCAAATGCCTGAAGTAAACAAAAATCCACAGATTCAGCTTATTCAGGCCCCAGGATCCAAATTTACTTCAGAACCTTTACAGTGGAATAGAATCACTTAGCTCAAATTTTACTCTGTTTCAATTGGAGGTACCTGCTGAATTAAAAAATTCTACGTGTACACCGACATACACACCTGAACACAGACAGTAATATAGTAATAAGAGAAAGCCATACAGAACGATTTACGGAAGCTGAGGCAGAGCTCTCAGTGCAGAACCAGCACCTTGTCAGTGATGTGCCTGCTGAGCAGGACCCAGACGGCAGCACCACCCTGTGGACACTGCACCTCCAGCTTGTACTGAGGGTTGTTGGCCAGGCTGTAGGCATCCTTCACTGGGCCCTGCTTTGCATCCCACGTACTGAAAATGATAGACACGACTGATTAGAAACTAATTTTGCTCTGAAGCAAACTTCAGATCCTACACATATGCAGAGCGTCATATTATCAGTAACAAATTATCAAAGCCTCGTTTTCTACTGGAATCTATGGCAGTGGTTACATAACACAGTCACATCAGAAACATTATCTAAGAACCTTGTTTTATAAATGAGTTCATCATAATATAAGTATGATAATAAAAAAATGCTGAATACAAACAGCCTGGTTAGTGACTGCAACCACAGTAAAAAAAAAGCACAGAAAAAGCTGAACCATTTAAGCAGTCTGGGCTACATAACCATAGCCATGATTGCACACATCAATATTAAATAAAAAAAAACACCTATACTTTTGTAACGGTAGAAATCTATCTATCTATCTGCTATGGTTGGTTTCAAAAGCTTGCCTAACTTCTTCCTTCTTTTTTTGCATGCTTGGAAGGGTGCCCTGCAGGAAGTGTTAAAGATCTTTGAGGTGCCCTACTGCAGAAACTGCCTGCTGCCTCGTGAAGTGTCTAGACAAGAAAAATACTGTGAGAAAAAACAGAAAGTGCTGATGACTGAACACAAAGTGTGGCACACTGGAAACAGAAGTGTATACAGCTATTCCTAAGTCTCCTTGCCCCTCTCACACTTGTAAAACTGAACAGCATGTGTGGAAGGTTGCATTAAAAAGCTTCAGATTATCACCGTCGTTACTCTGCATTTTATGGCAACTGCCACTGTGCTAAGGCTTTTCCCTACACAGAGGGAAGACAAATAAGGTAAGGACAGACAGACAGACCAGAAGGTGAGCTCTGATATTAGGATACACATTATCTCATCTTGCTACACCACCACAGTATATTTAGGAAATAACTGGTGCGCAACGATGGAAGGAGCCTGTACAGATGAACTCAGCAGTCACACTGTGGATGAAGGAGCTTGTGCAGAGATAACACATGCAGTGTGCAAGCAGTGGCAAAGTGCAATCTAGTGGAGTGGAAAAGTATGGAAACCCTTGCTTTCCAAAACCAAGACACAGATACACATACTTATTCTCAAACTGGGAGACAAAACCCCTGAATGTAATGGATATCACATTCAGAAAAAAAAATGATCAAGCAAGGAAGATTATTTATGATAATTACAACTGCTAAAACACAGAACTGGTTAAACTACCCTGATGTCAGTGAACACACCCTATGAAGATAACACAAGTTGCACAGCTCACTTGCAAGTGGCCAGAAAAATTAATTCAAAATATTAACTAGGTTACTTAAGCACTGTCTGGGCACTGCTTAGAGATGGACTGCACCAAAATCTGATTTTTATTCTGATAGGGAGGTGTGGGACTGAGGTCAGAATCTGGTTACACAACCGTAGTTCCACAGCAACACCACATGGGTCACTGAGCTCCACTGATGTTACAGAAATAGTCAAAAACAGAGCATGGGCTGAGAGAGTGTAAAGTGAGGCTCAAAAGTACAGGGCTGGAATTCAAGCCCCTAGCTGTAGTCTGGAAGAATGGAATGAAGGAAACGTCACATCAGAACACTAACTCAGATTTTGAAACAAAAAGTTTATCTTTTGGACCAACCTGTGAATACATGTAGATTCTTTAAAAAGACTTGGGTTCCAACTCAAATAAATAACATCATAGTACTGGCACAGGTCCTCCCAGGAAATCCAGAAAATGCCTGAAAAGGAAATGCTGTTTTTATTTTCTTACCAGATATCTTGATTTTACTTGATTCTCAAAAGTCTCTTTCTGAGCAAATGATACAGCTTATATAAGCCAACATTTCTGCAAAATGTAGTAGTAATGTCTGCACTGCCTAAATTGCTAAATTTAAACTTGCCCCCCAAACCAAGTTAAAGCAAGAAAAAACAAGTTAGTCTCTGCTTATTATCAGGGACTTTCTGAAGCTGTCAGAATGCTTTTTCATTCTCAAGCACTAAGCAGAAAGTCTGAGAAAATCTGCTATTTTGAAAGAGACATCATTAGGTGGTTCTGACTTGATTTCCCCTTTCCTACATTTCTAAAAACAAAAAAAATAAAATACACAGTCAAACAGGTTTCTGCAACTCAATAACCAACTTCACACAATTGAGTATTCAATCAACAAGTGAGTAAGTATGTTTAAATGTACTTCCAAGATACTTCATCCAACACCTATGTCACTTGTTTTTGCACCCTAAATTTGCTTTATCTTTGCAACATTCTCATGCATTTATTCGAGTTCTCCATAGCTCCCTTAATTGCAACTCCAGCCAACAACAGTGCCTGCAAGCCAACAAATTCCTAGTGGAATTAACTTTTAAAATGATAGCAGCCTTATAAATCATCTCTGACATAGGCAGTTGCAGATCTTGCAGCACTAAAAAACAGTTATAATAACTAACAAAAACAAGAAGACCAAAGTGTAAATCCAATTAGAAGGAATAACTCCATTACTAATGTAATTTCATACAAAATTTTAACAAGGCACTACAAATCACCTACTAAATGAATTGATAAATAAAAAACAAGCTATTATCTCATTAACTGTCACATATCCAGGGCTGCTATTTTTATGTTTTAATCAAAAGTCTTCATCAGGCATTTGCACGAGGCTTATCAATAAATGCTATAATCTAAAGGATTGGAGGCATAGTGTTGTAAAAACAGTGGCACTGAACAAAAGAGATTTATAGACAGCAACTAGGACACATTAAAAAGCAGAAATATCTTCCTGAAAGTAAAATAGAGCTGATGCAGCAGAAAGACTGATTAAATACTGATTACAGTAAGCATGTTGATACATATTTGAAAATGTTGGAGAGGAAAAAACCCACAAAAAGTCCATTCACGTATTAAAAAGCAGAATTACACAGCTTATTATCAGAATGTTCTCTTAGCACTGAACTCCCACATACTGAGACAGCATACTTAACCAAGGAGGTACTGTCTTGTCAATGAATTTGAGATACATATTTAACAGTCTAGATTACTTAAACCCCAGACAAACCTGAAATGACAGATTTAAATACAAAACTTTTTGCCTATTTACTTTCTACTATTTGTTTTGCTCTCCTTGTGCTTAAATATTTCTTTCCACCTTCCTGCAGGGATACACCACAAAGATCTATACTATTTGAAAACATAATGACTTTTAAAACCTTATTACCATTGTCTATTTTCTGAGCTGTTCTGGGATCAAAGTTCAAGTATTTTTGTAAATCTGGGGTCCAGTTTCTTGTGTCATTTTCACTGTATCGTCCCTTCCAACGTAAGTGGCTCCAGGGATTTTTTAGCTGAAGAAATCGAAGTCCCTAAAAAAACCACAAATTAAAATTGCCTATTCATCTTGTCATGATAATTTTTACATATTGAAAGTAGCTTTTATACGGATCATGAAAACTCAGAATCATTAAGTTTTCTGAAACTTCCCAACGGAGTCCAAGACAAAATAAAATATATTAGCCATTAGAGCAAAAAAATTCAGTAGCAACCCATCTAGGGTAAACCTAGAAACACATGTAGGTTTCAAACAGGAGTTTGAAAACACCTTCAGTTTCACTTAATACCTTATATTCTCTTATATCCAAGACTGCATATGCATGGGTTGGAACTAAACCCCACTTTTCTCCTTCCTCTTCAGACATCACCCCTGTTGCTGTTGTGATAAGGACATCTCCCTTGTGAAATCTGTTCAAAAAGAGGTGAAAAAATAGCTTAATTAAATCTCACAAGTTGCAATCTAACACTTGCCAGACACTGCAACAGCATGTTTGTACACTGCTTTATAAAACTGGTACACAGGGGCTTTTGTCAGCAGAAATCACTCCAGAAAACATCTGGGAAAGTGGAACTATTTTTCTTTCAGAATTAAGTATACAGCTTAAATTAAAAATTACTATTTTAATATAATTTCATATTTTCATGAACAAAATTCAGCATTTATCAACTTCAAGCTCAGCCTGTGTCACTTTTAAGATACTTTTCACAGATCCACAGCTGAGCACAAATGTGGTTTCATCACCACTTAGTCAATGACTGCATATAGCAAATTGTCAAGTTTGTCACACCCCCAGGATTCTGAAGAATGAGTAGTTCATGCTTCTATATTTTTCAGGTGTTTATACTCAAGTTTAGTGTTCTGAATAGTAATTGTTAATTTTGGCATACTTAGAGTTGTGAAAACATATTAACATGCTTCCAGCCTATGCTAAAAATCCAAGTACATACTCAGTGTCCCTAGACAGATTACAGGATCACTGGACTATATGGATTAACACATTTTCACTCTAGGACAGTGAACAACAGCAATGTTCCAATGGCTAGATCCCATCCTACCTTCAGTCACACCTTCAGATTGCAACAGCAGAACTTCTTAAAAACTGCTGAACAGCTCTGAGAGCTCCTAAGCAATTGAAAAAACACTCTTATGGATGCAGATGTTTCAATCAACAGAATGCACTGAAATACACAAGACTCTGGCTGCACAAAATCATTTTGAAAGAAATCAAAGTACTTAGTATAACTGGCATTTATAATTTACAGCTATATCTTTCAACAAAAGCAAAATAATAAAGGTCCAAAGTAAATGATTCTAAGACCATCAAATTCAACTGTTATGGTAGGTCAGAAAACCAGCACTGGACTTTTGACAGACTTTTGCTGCTCCTCCAGGAGATTTACTGATGAGGCATAATCTTGTGATATGATTAAGAATATTGTACTATATCTGCTTGCTAAGGACAGCAGATAAAATATAGTTCTGGGGTACACATATTCTTCTTCTTTTTAAACACTTAACTGGTGTATATATATATAACTGCTACCAGTTATAACTGGTATATTGGTTCCAAACTTCTCTGACTCTATATTCTGTGTCTTTTAATTAAGGAAACGGTTATTTTTTTTAAATTCATACATAAAGAAGAATTCCATCACACAAAAGTTCCCCAGTATTTTAATCTTCTGTTCTATCAAAGCCACCAATACCTCAATTTTTCTTCTTCCAGAAAGCACATGGAGGTTTTATAAAGTACAATTTGTAGCAGTACCAAAATGCTGTTGAAGTATCTGTGGTGATGTACTGCTTTTACAGTGGTAACACAGCTACTACACAGCAAGTATTTTAATTACTTAGGAAAGAACAAATGTATACCTCTGATAAAGCATTCTGAAAGTGCTATCTTTATTGAAGGCTTGATTGTCAGAGTGCATAGCAATTCTTTCAGGTATCCAACCTGTCAGTGCATGGAGATCAATATTCTGAAATGCAAGTATTCAAAAGAAATCAGAACAGATAAGCCATATGTAAACATATGATGTCTGTACACAACATAAAACACCTTGAAAGAAATCAAATATACATAATTTACAATACAGCTCTACGCATAAAAGGGTCAAGATTAAGACTAACAAACAAAAAATTCTTTGATTAGACAAGGACAATATTTCTGAGTACCTTAAAAAATAAAAAAAAACTGGAAAATGAACTGATGAAATAAACTGGAATTCTAGAGCAATGGAAGCATATCAGAATCATCAGTCATGCTCAATTGTGTGATGTGTTCTATTTATTTCATTGATTTACAGATTTTTAAAGCATTTCTCAGAAGCACTATTTGGTACCTTGCTATTAGATATGCATTTTAAATAATTTATGTTTTATTTCTAAAGCTCAGGGTTTGGGTTTTTTATTCTTTTTGGTAAAGCTGACACTGACATGCATTTCCATAAAAAGATGCTTTAATCTCCCAACTCCTTGAAATATTGCTTAATTCCTATTCTTTTGCTTTGTACTCCTCAAAGCAAAAGTAGAGACCATAAATGCTTGAAGTGTCAATAACAAGCACTGGGGGTGGGAACTTGAGGAATTACAAGTACAAGACTAACTGTAAGTAACCCTAATTACAGAAGGAAGCTGGAATATAGTGGCAAGTGGAGGGGGCAGGAAGGGTGGAGATTAAATGTCACCAGTCAAGCTGTTTTTCCAGATAGCAAGTTAGAGGATGACAATGGGAATAAAACACAGTTATTCTCAGCAGCTTTTGTCCTTCAAAACAAAGCCACCTGACACATAAAAATGTGTGCTGCATTTACCCCTTACACAAAGCCACATTTGTCTCCATAACAATTTTTCAAGAGGTGATGATTACCAAGTATACCCACCAAGAATGAGACTGTCAAGACATCAATTAGCACCAAGAATTAAAAAAAAAAATTCTTTAAAATTTTAATAGTATGAAGTTAAAATCAGAAGGGTTCCAAAGTAACATTATGTGGGCTACTCATTTCAGCAAACTGTCCCTCTTTAAAGAATAACTTGTATGTCATTTGTATGATGTAGGTTGACTGTTTCTTTAGTAACCACATCATAGAAACCCAATGCATATTTATGGAGATGAGTGGAACAATCTGATAAACAAACTTGCACAGATCAAAGAACTTGCTCCCTCTATATAGACCTTCTAAATGACTAGACTGTTCCTTTCCTAGCTGACTCCATTACCTAATAAGGGAGAACTGTCCTATTTATTGAAAGAGTTAGAAACCAAAATCAGCAGTATTGATATGGGCAAAGAGGATTTATGACTTCAACCAACATCTATATCTAGACTCTATATAAACACTTCCTTCCCACAAGCATCAATACTGAAGCCTGAGAACTAAGATTAACTTTAACCATCAAGATGTCTTGTTCATTCTATTTTGATGGAATAATTGTATTAAGTACAGCTAAAAATATTTGTGAAAGAAAGAAAAAGAAAAAAAATTAAGAAAATGTCAAACCAAATAGTTGTTTCCCCAAGCAGTTAACTTTGATTTCAATAGAAGGAAATTATTTTACCCAGTGTTATTTAAGTGGAGTTTTTTCCTCTTAGAAATAATCTCACACTTACAGAATTTGATCCAGGAAAATCATATCCTCCCATGACCTTCATGTAAGCCTTTTCTATTAGTGACACCCACAATTCATTCTTATTGTTGGAATAAGAGCAGAGAAGTTCCCCACTATGATCAACAGGTAACTGGTCGTCTATGATTACCTGTGTGAAATGAATGAAAAATTATCATAAATCTAATAAAGTATTTTGAAAGTAATCAGAAAATAAAACAAAACCCTCATTAATAAAAAGCTTTTCAGACACGGCCAGACCTGACCATTATTCTCACATATGGACACCTCTATCACTCCTGCAGTGGTTTGCCCAAGTGAACAAGAAATTCTACTGCCAGCTCTTGATTGTACTGGGCTAACTGGGTGACGTGTGAGTGGCTGCCTTGACTGATGGTGACAGTACACTCTTACTGCAAAAAGGTACTTGCAGAAAGGTCCCGTGCAATTACAAGCATAAAAAGTAAAGAAAAGCCTAACACTATTCCTCATCTAATTAGGAATCAGAGCATGGACAGAGGTGGCTTGGTAGCCAGCAGAGAAATAAATATTTATTTGTCTTTAAGGAAACAAATTGCGTACTATCACTTTCGCAGCTTCTAGTTCTAGATTTAAGTTTCTTCTCTCTGAAAAGGAAAAACACCTCAAAGCAGCAGCTCTGACAGTATTAATACTTCTTCTTTAAGTTAGGTACTATATATTCATCATCATTACAGATTCTTACTGCATATTTGCAGTAATCTGAAACAGTTTCCATGAATAGATGCTTCAGTTTCCTGTTGGCACTGGTCCATTACAACTACAGGCTACCAACGCAGCACATTCTCTGGTCAAATCCTATCTGTGCAGGAATGAATAGACCTTTTCATAGGTTAACAAATGGCCATTCATCCTAACAAAAGGCAGCCATTTGGAGATATTTTGGAAAGAATATTAAGAGCAAGGCAGACACAAAAATGATACTTTCCTGAAACACTCAGATTCCAGAATTTTGGAGCTCATGGTCTTCCTGATCCAGAGGTTATATCTTAACAATTAAGAACCTTTGAGGAGTTTCCCCCTACTTCCCCACCCCACGAATATGACCACTCAACTTCTGAACTCTCATAAACATTCATCAGTCACTATGACCTGTGCTACAGTTAAGTATTATACGGAGAAATACATTCTATTATGTTCTTATTTATTGCACTGAAAAGAAAATGAAGTTGTTTGTAAGCTTGTGAAGTTTTATCCTCAGCCATTTTCTCTTCTTACTAAAAATCTGTAGTCGAGCAAGGCCTTGCTTGAGTTATCAGTCAAGTTATTCCTCTATGGTCATTTCATATCTATACTGTTCCTGATATCCCCCTCCATATTTTTTAATTCTTTCTAAGGTGGAGTGGAAGACTGCACATCTAATTTATAAATAGGGGATAAATAGTTTTGTTCCTGTTTGTTTTTCACAATTCTGTTAAGTAATATAAAGGTTTTTTTTACATTAATTTAATGTAAGGCTATTTTTATGAATGTCTGTCGAAGTATAGAAGTACAGCTAGAAGAAGTATGTGGTTGCATACTTCAAAACCAAAAATGAATCTCAAAAAGGTTTAAAAATTAAAAACTACTTTCCAAAAACACCTGCCTGAAGTTTTTGCTATGCAAGCACTTCATAGTGAAGCTGATCAAGCCTTTAAAACACATGACTTATGCAGTAACAGTACTAAGTTCCCCAAAAACATTTACCTTCCTAGGAACACCATTGATATGAAGCTTCACCATGTATTTACCACATGGATTATATTCTGGTTCTCCTTTCTTATTCTGAGGGTAAATGATACTGTTAACAGAAAAAAATAAAAGAAAAAGAGGAAATTATGACATGGCTGTACCTACATTTATAATGATAAAAGTGGGATTAACACAGTCTGCTTATGGACTTTACACTGAACAGAAATACGGAATTTTTAATGAAGAGCAACTCAAATTCAGTAAAAAAATCAAGTTTAAATAGGTTTTATTTTTTCAGATCCTGCCTTTGCTGCAGCTTACTACTTAATATAGGAGCAAAAAGAACATAAATAACCTAATTGTTTCTCAAACAGAAGCAAGGCAAACAAATTTATCTTACAATTAAACAAGCAGTATTTACAAATCTATAATATACAGTATTTGCCTGAATGAAAAGGCAAACTTTTGAAGGAGAAGGCAGTGCAGATCTTGCTGCTCTTGAAAAGAATACAATTTCATTCTAAAATAATAGGTTAAAATAAAACAATCCAAAGACATTCACACACTGATCTGGCAAGAGCCTCCCAGCAAAGTCCAGAAAACCAATGGCAAATTTATCATAGGATGCCAATTGAGTGGAGTTGACATAGGGTTGTTAACATTAATTCTAGAATGAGTTGTAAAATGGACCACCTGTTGCACAGCAGCTAACAAAGTTGCAAAATGAAACTAGAGGGCATTATAAATAAATTTTATATTTAAAAAATCCCAAACAAATGCAAAATCCTTCCAAACTATTTTTCACTCCTCAAAGCACATCTGAATTTAGACCCCAGTGTCTGTATACATACGTACATTGACAGCAAGTTATATCTTAGTTAGCCAGGAGTTTTGTGATTTTAAAAAAATTTTGCAATGAACTATGCTTAATTAGTTAAGGAATGCTTGACTTTAGCTGCTTTGATTGAGATCTGTGTTGGCTGAGTGTCAGTAGAAAACCCTGAGAAATTATCTAACAGCACCTGCAGAAAGGAACTCCATGAACCCATACCCCTTAGAGAACTTAATCAACAGCTGAAGAACAAAACTCAATAAAGAATTGTTCAGTGGTTATCATATAACTAGAGATTAATAAGATGTCATAGAAAAAGAAAGCTATCTTGAGCAAGTTAAGGAGTCAAAGGCCTATACACCCCATAAAACCTGATTAATACACTGCAGGTACATCAAGGGAGCCACGTCACAGGCCTGTTACACCCCAGAAAACTTAATCAATGGCAATTGGCTAACCAGGACAGCAAATTTAATAAAGTGCTGCTTGGCTGGATAAAACTTGAGTTATCCATTATACAAAGATAGATGAGATGTTCTAGTAGTAATAAAAGAAACAGAACACCAATACCATGATGCAATAAATTGGGCAGACTTTTGGAAGTGTCTGTAAAACAATCTTGTATATTAGAGCATATATATAAATGTCTGAAAATTGTTGTTTCTTTGAACATGTCTATAGTGAATAAATTCATAATTTGTTCCCAATTTTGACTCAAAATTTTTATTAGTAATGTTTGCCTAACAGCTTCTTACTGTTAGACTTAAAACCCTTTGTTTCAATATAAAGTTGGCTTCCATCTTAGAAGTGCTGAAACCACACGAGTCCAAGGGAGATGAAGGTGAAACAAATGCTGCTTTTTATTGTGTACAGCTGTCACAGAACATACTGCAAAAGCTTGGCAGTATTAAGTCTGAAAAGATCGTACAAAACAACAGCTACTTACCTTGTGATCAATTTTTTGTTATATCTTCTTTCATATGCTGCACTGATAGCTAGTGATGCCACGAAAGAACAATCTGACACTATTGTCTATAAAGAAATGAAAGCCAGTGAGGATTATTTACTAATAACTTGGATACTGAGAGATGAATGCAGTGTGTGGAGGGAAGGAAAACAGTCAGTTAGTAATTCCCTTCAAAAGGGAAAGATTTAAACGAAAAGAAGCAAAGCCACTATTAAAGAGGCAGAAAATGTATGCTTGCTCAACCTGAGACCCCTATAGAGCAGAATTTTTCTATTTATTTAACCTTGTAAGAGCCAAGCAAAGCACTCTCATATTTGGGGATTCCTTTCTGAACAACAAAGTCCCCCATGATAAATCACTAGCAGCAGACATTTTTCCTTGGGAACAATTTACCTGCTTTATGCTGAAACTTGATACAGTATAGATCATCGTAGGGTTATTGGTTATGTCATCTGGTCGCACCCACTTGGCAAACATTGCTTTCTGTTTGGGGGATAATGGTAGCTTCCCACACTTATCACTAGATTTAAGAGAGAAAAAAATAGAAATAAATCAATAGCAGCTTAGAAGAGCTTTTTATGGTATATGCAATCTTAAATATGTCTGATAGATGGTGCAAAATATACACAGAACAATTACAAAGCTGTAAAACAATTTCAAGGAACGCTGCTTCTAAGTTTGTGATTTTTAAGGGGGAGAAAAGGCAAAAATGTTTTAAAAATTTGACCAAACCCAAATGTCTTTGTCTATTACGGCTGTGTAATCTTATTATTATTATTGCTTATGAATGAAAGTATAGCTTTTATATATCACTCTTGCTTGGAATAGTCCTTTACAGAGGAAACAGTTATCACCTGCATTTTACAGGCAACAGAGCTAAACTCATCAGCATGGAGCAGCATCAGAAAACAGACTTAAACTGCCAGCCTAGCCCAATAATCCAAAAACCCAAATATAATATTATCCTCATAGGCTTGAAGACATAAGACTGTAGGATCAGCTTACAATACAGTTTTAAATTCAGAGTGGAAGAAGGAAGTGGTGGTATTTGAATATCTCTGCCTGAATTATGCTTAAAAGCCTATGTCAACAATTTTAAACCCTGAAAAATAAATACCAAATATGGAAAAATTTTGAAAATAAAAACAAAAATGAAGTTCCGTAACTGAAGCATACTTACGAAAAAGGCATAGGGAAGGCAAAACGTTCCCTCAGATCAACACTCATGAAAGGTACATATTCAATGCCATTAATCTTTGAAGTCTTCCTGCAAGTCAGAAGAAAAACAACAAAAAAGCAGAGTTACAAACCTATCAATCATCTTCTGAAGATTAACTTGCAGAAGGCAACAATAAAATAACTTTTTAAAAATTAGTAATACACAGTGCTTCTGAAAACAAGACAATTACGTCTTGAAGATTATATATTTGATAGTTTTCAAAAGTCACAATTTAAGTTAATGTTTTTATTGATTATTTGTAGCTTATTTAATCTATAATAAAAATCAAAAGGAAAAGATCTGGATGTAATAGAAGGCAGAGTCATATAAAATATTATGTTCCCTCGATTTCCAGTGAAGTAGAAGTTGTATAATCTATAAAAACAACTTTGCACTTTGCCTTCTCAGAGGCAGACCTTTCCTGAACTCATTTTGGAAAATCTTAGACTTACCTGAGTACTTCAATCTCCTCTGCAGTATATCTCTGACCTTGAGATTCACTAGCTTGTACTGCTCTTATTGTCTGTGGTTTATCATTTAAAGAAAAATCAGGTCCCAATGGAAAGAATGTTCTGACTGGCTGATTTGGTTTGGCTGCAGTTGACTTTTCTTTCTGAGATGGCTTTGACATGGATTCCTTCAGTGCTTCTGCTCTAAAGCAAATAAAGAATGCATTTTCTTTACAACAGTGATGCAAATATTACAGTTCAATTATTAATTTTCTTGGTTCATGTTCCCACATATGTTAAATGGAACAAGTAAATGGCCAAGTTGACCAACACTACTTTTTCTAAAAAACAAAAATCGACTTCTGATGCTGATACTTCTTTATTTTTCTGTTCTTGAACCAATTAAAATATAGCATTTCCAACTCATACAAGCTACTTTTGACAGAACTCATTAGATTTTTATTGCCTCTAAATTATGCTAATAGGAGAATTTGTTTAAGTGTTCATTATGTGGAATCTCAGAACAAGATCAGTGGAACACAGAGAGAAAACTGATCCGCATCTTCTCATGCCTTCCAGATATATTTTGTCTAGCAGGTATGCAATAGTAGTAAAACCCAGACCTTCAATTGCTTGAACACTGTGTATGCAGGAGCCATATTTAGTAATTGCTGCCTTAAGCTGCTGGATAGTCATACACATGGAAAATATTGGGATTTTTTTCTGAACACAGACAAGAAGTGCTAAAACCCAGTTTATACTGAAACTTAGCCCAACACAGCCTGGGATTCACCATTATAGAGCTGATTTAAAAAGAGGTACAATGAAGATATACTTGTGTAAATTGTTTCAGACAGAGATTTCACTACACATATACCATGTAATTAGATTGCTATTGTAAAGAAAAGAGTTTCCCAGTTTCTAAGCTGTCTTCCTTATGGAAGGACACTGACACCTTGACTTCGTGCTAGCCTGAATTCAGCATCTTTTATAGAGGCCAATAATTATAGTACTCTGGATTATATCTCTGAAGTAGTGCATTTGTTCTAACAAACACCCAGTCCTTTCCTAATTCTGCATGTCTCAAGATTCCCAGAGGGTTGGCATAACAGCTGCTACATTCAGCAGTGAAGCAGCTGGCAACTAGCTCCAAGGTGAACTCTCTGGGAGCTTAGTCTACACAGAATCAACACACACGTGTTAGACTGAGAATCCAACACAGAGGCTGCATTTAGACCCGACAGCAAGTGTGTTTACTAACATTAGCAGTACTCACCTATCCAGTGCTTGTCGAGCCAGCTGTTTCAGTTTGGACTGGAGGCCTGCTTCTGAGGTTTCAGTTGCCTAAAGTGCAAAATAAAAGAAAAAGCTACACATCCAAAAACCACCAACATATTTTATAAGCTCAGCTGTCATACTTCTAGGTTACAGCAAAGAGTAACTAGCTATTTATTCTAATTCGTTTTTTGAAATGAGAAAATATTTTTCTTTTTTGTTTGTTGTTTCTCTTTTAAACTCAGCATTAAACAATACTATGTAAGCAAACATAATTTTGCTCTTCTAGTGAAATTTTGATAGAATGGAAGTTATGTCTAAAATTCTTCAGCATGGAAAACAGTGCATACAGAAAAAAAATTACAAGAAGAATTAATTGTATTAAAACACTATTGGCAGAAAGAAGACAAAACAAAATGTTGCATATACTGCTGAGCTTGGATGTGTTCCAATTCTTTTCCCCACATGTGTTTAAATTATCATGGTAACTTAGAAAAAATATTTTAAATGTCTACTTTCATAAAATAAGTTTGTTTTCAAACAAACAAGATAGAGGGGCAAGAACAACATTTTAAACTTGCAATCAAAAGCATAAAATAACGTAGCACAGGGTGACCAAGATGTGAAGAGTGTTATCTTCTGTTCCCATTTGGGAGGTCATCTATGACAGTTTATACTTTTGTCTTCCTTACAGATGAAGCATGGCTTCTGCAGCCCAACAGTCTGCAGAATTGAGGCGTGTCTTCTCCTGTGGCATCCACGAGCAGGTTTCAGGTTCTAGCTTTGTGCCTTGACCAATTATTCCAGGTAAGGGACATCAAGTGAGGATACAAAAAGCAAGCTACTTCACCCCAAGAAACAAAACTAGAAACACTCTCTGTAAGCAAATAATTTAATTTGCAAATAAATAACACTCTGGTGTTCCTAGCTGGAAAAGACTTAAAGATTTATGAAGGTAAGTAGTGGAGATGGAACACCAGCACACTCATCAAGGAATCAGCCACAGAAGTGGAGTGATGGCTGCACTCTGAGTACTTCAAGGGTAAGGAAGAAACAAATCTCTCCCCCTGAATATACTGAAGAGAAGGACAGGAATAAAGCTTCAAGATAGCAGAGTTCCTTAAATCTCCTTTCATCTTGGGAAGAAGAAGGTACTTTTGGGTCACCCCGAGGGACAGACTTTACCATCATGTCAACAAAAGAATATGCTAGTCAAGATTAAAAGAAACTTCAGCAGTATCTTGCACCTAATGAAATACCCAAGAAATGCAGTTGTTAATATGAGATATTTTCAGACTAACTTCAGTAATATTTGTATGCACTGACATAACAGAAGGAGGAATACAGCAGAGGAAACGTAGCATGCTGCCTTAGTAAATGTTACATAATAGACTGAAAATGTTCTGCTCCAACAGCTCAAGTGGAAAAACTAGAGCAGCTCTACTAACTCTTCATCTGGTTACACTGTATCACCAGGGGTTTTAGCCTAGGTAAAACCTGTTAACATAATTCAGGGGAAAGGATTTACTCAAGCTTGTAGAACAGTAATATAACACCCTCAACAACCCATAAATATTTTTACATTATAATATTGAAAAGAAGAGAAAAAGAAAAACAGACTTGGTGGAGTTACAATATGATGGTGAGCTCTTCTTGTAATGAGTTAGTTAAGGCAACTGGACTTAAGGGAGAAAAGCAGTACCTGTAATTATATTCTGGATTGTTTATGTAATGGCCAATTCATCCTTATTAATTTCAGTGTGAACTGAATTCACTCACAAAAGCTTTAATGTTGAACACTTGAGCAATCAAGTAGTATTTTTAATAGTTTTGGCATCAGTAGACTTATGTCTTCAGAAAATGTTACACACACAAATTTCCTTTAATGTAGTCAGAAATTAATACAGCTGACACATTAGCAAGTTATCTTCATTTTTAACATGACTTTTAATTTCTGGTTTTGTCGTATTTGCTCCAGGGCAAAAATCAACATGAAAAATATTCCAGAATATTTCTAGCTTTTAGTATAATCCAGTTCAGAAAAAACCCACATAAATGACAAGTCCCCATAAATTTACAGTGTTGTTGTATAGCAACATAACAAAGACTGGAAGAAACACTTTAAAAAAAAACAGTGAAACAAAAAAAAATTAACAGGTCATTTTTACAAATACAGGTACTCCATTTTCAAGCCAGCTTTTAATGGTCAGTCATTTGTGAGAGTGGAAGAATTTCTTACCATCACATAATTCCACCAAGTTAACCTGTAGCTTAACATACTGTTTTCAAACAGAGTTCCACCGCTTCTGTGTACAACTCTATAGCTTCTTCTGCGTTGCCTTTATCATCTTCATCAAAAGCCTGTGTAACCAGGAAGTGAGCACGCTCCAAGTCCAACTGTTGCTTTGACTTCAGAGGATCTGTCTTCTGTGATTGAACTAAATAAAGAAAAGCACAAGTATTTAGCTTTCTACAGCAGTAGACATGTAAAAACGTCCTGAACATGTCACCAAAACACTAGCAGCTCTAATCAGATGGGTAACGTCTATTTCTTGTCTGGAAACAAAATCTTTCTAAAGTTTGCTATAAACATCTGCATAAACATATGCAAGGAAAAGGAAACACCATCACACTTCCCTGGAGCACAGGTTAGCTCTCTGGATATTTCAGATGTGAAATAATATAAATAAAATCTCTTCCATACTACGCTGAGAACAAGGATGTTTAATTACATAAATTATTGCATTATTTGTGAAAATACATCACCTATGACAATATACAAGTTCCTTAGGTGTCCGTGTCACCTAATACCTTTATTAATGAACTTTCTTGCATTTTCTCTGCAGATGTGGTTCCTCAGAATATTTAAAAGCAAAGAATACCCATACCCAAGTCCTTAGAAAGTCAGTCTCCACTTAATTTATGATGTATCAGAATTCAAAGCCCTGATGTGTTCATTGTATTTGTGGTTCTTCACAAAGGACAAGAAAATCAGAATAATAAAAACAGAGCAAACACCATTGATATGTATTTCACAGCAGCAAACAACTTTCCACTCAATTAATTTAAGCAGAGGTTTAATTAGAAAGCTCCTTACCCACCTGCTGAATGGAGAGCTTGAACTCTCTCCAAGTACTCATTTATTTTTTCTTGAATATTTTCCAAGTTGGACCCAGCCATCCCAGCATAAATCAAGGCTTGGGCAGCTTCCTGCAGGGAGAAGAATTGGAGACAAAGTTAATGTTTGCTGCCTAGAAAATTACTTACCATAAACAGAGGGCCTACAGCAGCCATGAGTTGCATGAAAGCAAGCCCTTACATCTGCAAAAAGACTCAGTGGCTGCAGGGAAATTCTGCTCAAAAAGAAAAAGTTTCAAGTTATAAGATAGATTATGTTTAATTTCTCACATCTGGGGCAACCTATAAGACTATAAAAACATTCAGAAATTCTGTAAGACCAGATCTTAGGTCTGCTTATAAAGTAATGTATGAAATTAGGAGATTTTAAGTAAAACTCTTTAAGCATGCACTGAAATCAGTTTGGTTTTAAAGGTGAGGATTTAAGGTTAGGAAAAAAAGTAGCTATTCCAGTTATTTGCATTTAATCTGGTAATATTGAAAGTAAACAAGTATAAAAGCTTTTTAAAATCAAATGCCAAGAATTTTTGTTTATTCATTATTATTACTCAGAAAAAACTATCCAATCTGAAACGTCTACAAATGTGAGGTTTCCTAGTTTCTCAGGCTTGTTTTTTTAAATGTTTGTATGTAAACAAAATACTGTATGGAAGTCTCCTTTCAGGAGGGAGCGTAGGCCTTTGGCTCAGAAGCACAGTACATTACCCACATGAAGGCTTGTTCCATACTGTACAAATCTATTAAGGAAAAATGCCTTCAGTTGCATAAGCTGTCTATCCCTTCACTGAATTAATGAAAAACACATAAGGTTTGGCAGGGTTGCAATAAATAGCCAGAGCTGACACAGTCTCTGAACCATATGGAGAATCAACATTTGTCACCCCACAAAAATGAAGACAAAAACCTTATTTTGTCCTCATTATTGACATGGCAAAACCCCCCACTTTTGCTCGCCTTCCCACCAGCAGCAGAGGAGAGGAGGTGGCCGTGCAGCAGGCAGGCTGGGAAGGCAGAAAGCAGAAGAGTAACTAGAGAGCTGCTTCACAGAGATGGTGCTCAAAGAGGCTGCCCTGCATAGGGCAAGCACAGATCCACAGTCAGGGCTCCCTTGTGTGTTTTATGGCCATTATTTTGGACAACTTTAGCAGTTTGCTCCCATATCAATCTGTTTAGTTTGCCCACACTTAAAACTGATCCTGATAGAGCCTGCATTTGTTATCAGGATAAATTTTCACTGAGAAACATCAAAGAATCAAGTACTGCATGCTCCCTGCCAGCATCCATCTCCCTATTACATCACATAAAACATCCACAGGCACTGAAGGGTAAGCAGAAGTACCATCTATATGTAGCAATTAACTACCATTAAGCACACAACTATTTTTTGCAAGGGAAGAATGTGCACTACAACTACGTGCTCAAGGGATGGGTGTATTTGTCTGTGACATACTAAAAGTACAGACTGACAAAACAGGTGCTGTATAACAAAGGTATGTGGTCTACATACGATGGAAAGAACAAATGTGGATTTTCAAACCAGTGCTATAAAACCAGCATATAACTGATGTTGCTTCTGTGATTTCAAGCAGAATTGGTTTGGCCTGGTTTTAAGATGTAAAAATAATGGAAACAAATATTTTATCAACCAAACCTGCTAAGGACTGAAGCAGTTGACAGAATGCTTGTGGAGACAGCCTGCCAGCTGTTTCCAGTGATCAGATGGATGTGCAATTCAGACTTTGCATTTATGATCTCTCCAATGTCACTACTGTTTGTTATGAGTCATGTGCCACAGTCACACTAAGCTAACAACTGATCATCAGTCTGCAAGATGCTAACGGCTGGTCAACAGCCAGACTTAGCAACAGCCTTCAGCAGTTTTGGCTGAAGTCATTGGTGTCCAAATATGATCCTGACATTTCTGCAGAGCACCACTAATTAGCAAGCTGCCCGAAGCTGGTTCACATGCAGCACTCCTCTAGGCATCTATCAAAGTTACACGGTAGCAGGAAGTCAAGCATACTTCCTAACTATAAGAATTCCATTCACACAGGTCTGTTTGGTCTATGGCAACAACTGTAGCATTTTCCATACTGCTTCCTTAAGGTTCCTGCAGAAGCCAGTTCAGTACCCAAGCTTTCTCACATGCTTAGTAATTGCACCAGTGGGCTCTGAAGTTTTTAGAGCAGTTGATAAGAACCTGGTGACAGGTCAGAATTTACTTCCACTGTGCTGGAATAAATAATAAAATAAATAAATAAATAAAGTATCCCTGAAATAACAAGTGACATTTTATAACTATTTTGTATAATTAAACATGGCAGTGATTCTTCAGAGAACATCAGGAAAGCTAAACATATCTAGGTTACACCCTTGTCTCATGTAGCTTCAAGTGCACCAAGACTGCCAGGGGTACATTTTTCCACTCAGCAAGAATATCACCTGTATACAGTATGTGAAAAAGATTTTCCACACACATATATGTTCAAAAGCATACAAGAGTGGCTATTTGCACAAAAAGATATTTTCATTCTGAATAGCACTGAGTAATTTTTTCCAGATAAAAGGAGAAATACACAGTACTAAAGCAGTACTGCACATGGTTATCAGACCGTGCACACACTGCTGCTGATGAACAGAGCTTACTGCTGTTATTATTGGCAACTATAACTTTTGCATATGTAAGGCTTACATGCATAAATTTAGCCCCCACAAAATTAACAACTGGGTTAAAAAAAAAAAAAAGAAAAAAAAGACTCTTCTTCCTATTATTTCACACTTACATGCATAGGCCAACATGATGTTAACACAATGCTTTTTAAACATTTCACAGACACCTTGTACTCATGAAATAAAAGGCCAACTACAGATCCTTTAACAATTTATTGGAAGAGGATGACTTTGTCAGGATAATGGAATTTATGGAATTATTACTGAGATAAGAATAAACAGAGGCTTCAAAGAGATCACTTCTTGCAGTCAATGGGATACAGAACTTTAATGTAACTTTATGACACATAAAACAACAAAATGACGCAATTTACATAGGTGAAAAATGCCTAATGATTGCACAAAAACTACTAAATACTAGCAAGAAGCCTACAGATATTAAGCAAGACACTGAATCAACCTCATTATATCCTTAGCTATGCCAACCTGAAATGGTATTGAAACAATAAAATCTAGTCCCTCGTAGAAAGAATATTCACACAAGGTTAAAAACCTGTCACTGACAGCTTGTGATCTGAACCTGTCTTACTGCTGAGAATCTTGTATTTCACCACAGACCTCTCTATTTACTTGATGACCGTACAACAGAGCTGCTCCCAGCTGCGCACGCAGGAGGGGCAGTATGCCCGCTTGTGGTTTCCAAAATGCCCAGTTTTTACATCGCCAGGATAAAACCGATCAGTCTTTCTGGCCTGGCAGGGCTTGGGGAGGGCCAGGAATGAAGTGTAGAACCAGCGGGGCAGAGACGTTTTTAGGTTACGATGAATCCTCCCAGAAGCACTCAAGGGGCTGTGTCTGCAGCAGCTGCAAGAAGCGCCCATTCCCGTTTTTTAAGCAGAGTACCTGCAGTGCTACCCCTAAGCCTGTCGGTAAACATCAGCGCACGGGCAGCGCTCGTTCCCACCTAAAAACAGGACGCAGGGAAAACGCGTTTCGCAACCCGCCCTGAAGGACGCGGCTCCTCCAGAGACTGACAAACTTTCGACGCTCACGCACGGCCTTCCACTCTCGTCTCGGCCGGCACCGCCTCGTCTTCCCCGGGCCGAGCAGCTCGTTCCCGGGGCACACCCGCCGGGGGAGGGCGGGGGCGGCGGCGCTGACCCGGCGCGTCTCTCTCCGCCTGCAGGGCCGTGCCGGGCCGCGGGAGTGCCGAACACTCCTCTCCGGCCCTCAGGGGGCCGAGGGGGGAGCGCGAACCCTTTGGCAGCTCAAGAGCATCGCGCGGCCCGCGGCGAGGGGAAGGAGACACCGGCACCCCGAGGGAACCGGCGCGTCCCCGCCGTACCTTGTAGTAGAAGACCGCTTCCTGGTAGCGCCCGCTCTGGTCCCGCTGCACCGCCAGCTGCGCGAACTTCACCGCGTCCAGCTCCAGCGTGGTGGCATCCATGGCCAACGCCTTCCGGGTGCCGGCGGCGGCAGCAGCAGCGACAGCTCCTGTCGAAGCCCACTCTATCCCTGTCCCCACGCCCGCCCGGCCGCTTCCCCCTCCTCCCTGACCCCGCCGCGCCCGTAGGCCGCGCCCCCATGTCTGGTCACGCCCCCGAGCCCGTCCCCCGTGCCTATGGCCACGCCCACTGGCTCTGCAGCCGCCGGCCCGCCCCGTCTTGCCACGCCCACCTCACGCCCATGCGCCCCGGCAGAGGCCGCCCCGCCCGGGGCTGCACTGCGCGTGCTCGGGCGCGAGGGGGCGGTGCGGTGGTGGGCGGGAACAGCGCGCGCCTGCCTGAGGCGCTTGAGGGGCGAGCGCGTGCGGGGAGGTTACGGAATTACAGAGTCACAGAATCACAGGTTCATTCAGGTTGGAAAAGACCTCGAGATTATCGAATGCAACCCATGACCGAACACCATCGTGTCAACCAGACTGTGACACTAAGTGCCACGTCCAGCCTTAAACATCTCTAGGGACGGTGGCTCCACCACCTCCCTGGGCAGCCCATTCCAGTGTCTAATCATTCCTTCGGTGAAGAAATCTCCTAATGTCCAACCTGAACTTCTCCTGGCACAGGTTGAGACTACGTTCTCTTGTCCTCTCACTGACAGACCCCGCCTGGATAGAGCCTCCTTTCAGGGAGCTGTAGAGAGCCCTAAGGTCTATCCTGGAGGGAGGAGAGGCTCCCCTCCTTTTCTCCAGCAGCTCCCTCAGCTGCTCCTCATAGGACTTGTGTTCCAGACCCTTCACCAGATCCATCGCTTCATTGTCTGTCTGGACTCACTCCAGCACCTCAGTGTCCGTCCTGAACTACGGGACCCAGCACTGGGCACAGCACTCAAGGTGTGGCCTCACCAGTGCTGAGTACAGGTGAAGTATAACTTCCCTGGATTCTCTTCCATCCCTTCTCTCCCATGGTTGTCAGTCGGGGTGAAGGAAGCAGGTGCAGCCCAGGGGTTGCAGAGTGGGGTTGTTCTTTATTTCCCATTTCTCAATTTTTAATAGAGGTAGACATGGTTAATCCCCTTGAGGCTGGGGTTTCTAGCCTTTAAAGGAGAGCATTTTCAGTGTGCACTTGATTGTCATATAGGTGTAAAGTGGAAAGCAAACAAAAAGCCTGAGTTTGCTGTACTGATTCTCATTAAAACAAAAAAATCAGACTAGCAATTTTGTAACCTGTATTACTTACCTAGGATGTTCAGGATTTTCTTTTGTGTTCTACCATAAGAGGCAGCTAGGGGAAATCTGAGGGGTGGGATTCCTGAGGAGTGGGGTCCCTCCAGAAGGAGCCATATGGCAAGGGGAAATGGGAACAGGTTGCACTGGGAGAGGTTTCATCTTGACATAAGAAAGAAAAATTTTAGAAAAGCATGGACCGTTCATTGGAACAGCCTCCCTGGGGACATTGCTGGAGGTTTTCAAGAGGGTATAGACAGGGTGCTAGTCTCATCTATGCTCCTCTTCCCACAGAAGGTTGGGGTTCCTTCTCACCTGGGCAATTCTGTGATCCTACAGGCTTTTATTTCTGCCGGAAAATACAGCTTATTGCACGGCATTGTTTTCATGAGATACAAAAATACTGTCTGGCAAGTTATTCTGCAGCTCTCCTTTATGTGTGTCTTTTCAGCCTGTTTTCTGATTATTAATTTAGTTAGCGGTGCAGCTAAATGCAGGAGTACTAGGTACTGAAATACTGAAATCTATTTTCCCTATAATTTTCTTAAGTACAGAGTTAAGTGTTCCCATTCCATCTTCTTCCCTTCCTTATCCCTTTTGTGCTTTACGATTGCATTTATATAAATACAGTAATGTTTAGTGCAAAAAGGAACTTGGTTTTTGTGATCTGCTATTTAGGGGAAGTTCTTGTATTCTTCATAGCTTTCCTTTTTGACTGTGCTCCTTATAAAGTTAGTTGGTTTGAGTTTTCTTTTTCTTTCATAAGTATATTTTATGGGTTTCATCTGAGCACAGGAAAAATTCACATTACACTAAGGGGTTTTTCTGAATAAAGCTCTATTTGTTCCATATTTCCCTAATGATACCATGAAAATGGAATTTCAGTCAGGGTCTGCTTCAAGTTGATGTTGAGACATAGTGGTGTAACTTGCACAGTCTAAAATTAATTTGTGTATCGTGGCTTCAGACTAAACCATTTATGGATCAAATGCAACTCTGAAGTATTCAGAGTGACATGCATGATGAAAAGGAGGCTGAAATGGGCAGAACCACAGATAATGCTGTTCCTTACTTAAATCTACATGCCAAAGCCACTTATGCTGCAACATAAACTCAGACCTCTTCCAGCTAATTTCGATTCAAAATTGTCACTTTGAAGAATTATTTTCCCACTATTTGATGGCCACTGTGATTGGCCCTTTTCAGATAATAAATGGCTTGTGTGTTTCTGTTTCTTACTAATCCTTTGTAAAATTCTACAGGAGGCTTTTAAATGTACAAAAAGTACAGTAAGTTATTAAGGTCATGACTGCAGCTAAGACTTCACACATACCATTTTTTTGCCTTTTGCTTGTAGTGGTATTTTAGTTTTGGAGCTAGATATTAGAATTTGCCTGTTTTCTTTCTAGATGAGGAAGAATAATTTCTTTCAATTGATGCTGATATATCACTAACATTTAAATTTTGTATGGTTAACTTTTGCCTCCCAAGATACCGTGCAGAAAACCCCTTCCACTAACTAAGATTGTTAAATCCCTTTTTCCACTGTCACAAATCCCAATTCTATATCCAGGTCCTCTGCCTCAGTTTTTCTTCCCTTTGGTGATATTTGCTCTGAGTATCCTTTACTTCCCACCTTTTACTTATCCTATGTGTCTTCCTTCCTAATCTCATCTAATGCTTGCTTGCTTTCCTTCCTGCCTGCCTTTTGCAGTCAATATTCTCTGGGAAGATCATACCTCTACCTGTTTTCTTAATATTATTCCCTCCAGCCCATGCTTTTTTTGAAGAGGCAGTATCAGATGAAGAAATTCAGGTCTGTGTTTCTGTGTCATAGTTTTTCATTGCTAACAAGACAGAATCAGTTCATTCTGATTAGCCCGTCCTCTGAAGATACTTTCATCCCTCTTTTCTTTTTGTCTCAAAAGGAATCTCATGTAATGCTACAATTTACTGTCTCCCAGCTCCTTTTCCTGCCTTTTGATTTTGATTCTTGCTTCTCTGCGTCTTCTTTTCCTCATTTTTTCAAACATATGTTGTAGGGATAGACGTTTGCATATTGGTGATGCTTCTTACCTAAATTTTGCTTATTGCCATACCTATTTTCATTTGACTGCAGCCGAAGCTTTTTAATGCTTTATAATGCTTTTAGTGCTTCCCCCACCACCTTCCCCTAGGCACTGAAAACCCCAAAGATACAAACCTTTGATATAATCTCGTTTATGAATTCCTCCACAGTTACTTTCACTCTGTTGAGGCAATACAGAGTCAGAACAGGAGTTGCTCTGGTCTTTTATTCCTCTGACTGGAGTGTGTACTTGATGCCTGTTGAAGGATTACAGGAATAGGATAAAGTCAAAGTAGTGTTTTGTCTCAGCTTCCCGTAGGCTGTGGGTTGAGCTCACATTATTGCCTCTGATACTACTTGCTGGGCTTATTTTCAATTAATTAGTCTAATTGTTGCTTTAGCACAATTTGATTTTGGTATTCAAAATGTTTTGTGGGAATATTTAAATTTGTAGTATAACATTCCATTAAAAAAAAAACAAAAAACAAAACCAAAACAAACTAATTGCCATGCTGTTTCTCAGTGCATTTTTTCACCCTTTCTCCTCTTATAAAAAATTATGATCCTATCACTCACATTTTTTATTTTGCCCATAAATTTGTATTCTTTACTATCTCTTTCTACCATTATTTATTTTGTCACAGATGTTTCCTTTGACATGAAGTGACCAGAATGGTGTGCAGTATTAGAGCTGTCTTATTAATTTTGTATCCTTGTGCATCGTTTTCTTCTGTTTCATAATGATTCCTAACACTCTATTTGCACTTTTAACCACTGCTTAGCCTTGACCGAAGTTCTGAGCATTCTCCAGAATGACTCAGCTGTTCTGAGAAAGGATTGATGGTTTAGCATCTGTCATTATGTACCTAATGTGGTGTTTTTCCCCCTGTGATTTAACAGCATTTAGTTTCACAGGCTGTTTACTACATACACAGGAGAGATCCTTGCACAACTTTCTTTAGCAGGCTTTCACAAACCAGGCTATTTGTATCACTGTGGTTGCCAGGCTTGCTGCAGAGAATTGTCAAGGCTGGTTGAGCCAAAATGATCTGAGACGCTTGTCTTGCACCCGGCTAGAGCAAGGCTTCACTCAACGTGTGGGCTGAAGTAGAGGCCTCCCAGCCCAGTGTTGTCTCAGCGAAGCACAGAAGAGCACTGACACCTCTGTGCAGGGGTGTTGACCCTGAGATGTGAATCCCCCTTACCCAGATGTAAGAGGCCTTGTTGGAAGTGTGAATCCTGGTGCTTGGAGGAGACACTGATGGATGATTCTAACATGCTGATGGAAGCAGACTACTGGGCAGAAATCAGACAGCCTTTATTGCTGCTTTGACTTTTTTGGAGAGGGAGCAAGGCTGAGGTGTCACGGTTCTATTCTGCCTTTGATTCATCTGTGAGTCCTATAGCTCAGCTTGACCAAAGGTCAAAAAGCCCCTCATTATCCTTCCTTTGCATGTGAAAAAATACATCCATCAATATGAAAATGAGAAAGGGGCTGCCCCCCACCTATAACAGCAGCAACATTTGACCAATTGTATTTAACTACAGTCCCATCCCCATTTACCCAAAAATATAACACTGACATTTGGAATCCTCCATGTAGAAGGTGAAAATATGACACAAACAAGTTGCTGGGCTTGCTCTTCTCTCCCCCCCAAAACAGATAGGCCTTTTTTTGGTAAGATTTGTGATTCTGACTGTGCCAGGGCGTGCTCTGGTGAAACCAAGCTAATTAACAGTGAAGTTAAGCTTAGTGAAAAGCTGAATTTGTTACTTTAGCTTGAATTGTTAATTCAGCTTAATCA